CACAACATTAAACAAAAACATTAATGTCAACAGCTGCACCACACATATGCCCACAAAATAAAATCTATTCTGCACACAAGGTCTTACAATCTCATTTAATCGTGACATTAGCAATGTATTATTATCGTATCCAAGATTCAAGATCAACTTTATCATCCCAGTGGATGGAAACATTTGTATTATAAACATGTGCACATGCACAAATCACTATTATACACCACACTGTCATAGCAAATTACCCATCCCTCTGAAACTTGTCAAGTTATGATAATTCCATCTGTTTGTCCTTAAAGCAGTGAGTGAGTGGTTAAGGCTGCATGCAGCATCTCTCTGAGTGCATCCCTAGTTTCTTTCAGTGTTGTGTTGGGCTCAGATTGCTTGTGCAACCACAGGTTTGCCGGGAAAAATATTCCAGCATTCTGATACTGTATTTTCTTGAGTTACACTTAAGTTCGGAAGAAAGCATCTCTACAGTCTCCTCCAGCAATCATGTCAGCAGGGCTTATTGGCCTTCACTTTTAACCAGCCCTTCTCTTGCTTCTCACATTCAATGGACCAAAACCTGCAGGACTGACCGATACATAATTCATCATTTATACTTTGATACTTAAAAGTTCAAGCCGAGCCAGATAGGCTTTTTACAAAGTTGTATCTGAAACTGAGAGAAAATAAACGTAAGACTGTAAGTTAGCGGAGATGACCCTGTAGATGTCTGAGAGTCTTTGGAAATTCGATTTCCAGAGAGAACAGGCAACTGAGGTTCATTTTTAAAAGCAAAACTGATACTTGATGAACATTTTTTGTAATAGGGCACAATGAATTCTAAATTCTGAAACTCTGAAATTCTAAAGTGTTATATTTGAATGATGAGTCCAAAAACTAGATTGAAACATGGAGAATCAGCAGAGGATAAAAGTGTGGAGGGGATGAATGAATCTCAAACAAATGGTAAAAATGACATTAGATTTAGACAGAATAGCAAATGTACTAAAAAGACAAGGATAAAATGAAAAAGAAAACACAAAGCAAACATCCGTTTCTCTTTTAGTTTTAGCTGTTACTAAGCAACAGCTTCTCCCACATGTTGTGATGAAATAGTTATCCCCAGGTTGATGAAGGCACGACCAACACAAAGTGTCTTACATCGCTCGACACATCTGCTCTCTTCACTGTGCGCTTGTTTGCTCCTTAAATAAAAGACTTTGAACAAACGGAATCAGGAAGCGCCGAGCAACGGCACGTCACTTTACCAGATTTATTTATCTCTGTTTGAATATAAAGGCTTCACACTCAACACATTCCAACCCTCCAGCTTTGTGGGAGTGTTTAATGAAAATCCATTTCCTAATAGAAATACAATAAAGTCTATTTGCTTGTGAAAATGAAAAAGCGACAGAGGAGGAAAGAGGGGATGGTCGCAACGCTTTTTGCACTTATCTCAGTTACTCTAAGAACATTTGCAACCTATCCCCATCATTGAAAGATGATTACATTTGAAATACTCACAATATTATTTCAATAGAAAAGTCAGATGTTGCAATTGACCTCAACCAAATATACTATTCATTAAAATAATATGTTGATGCCTTTAAAACAAGTCACCTCGCTTGCTGCCTCCCTTACCATTATGAAACAGAGAGTCAGAGAAGCGCAATGAATCATGGGATACGTATGTCCGGGAAGGATCCACGCATTTGTTGGCCTTATTTGTCAGAGCCTTCGAACTGGGACAGTCTTGTTGCGGCTGTGGCTGAGGGGTAGAGCGGTCGTCCTCCAACCAGTTGGCAGTTCAATCCCCAGTCTTCCCCCATCTGCATGCCGAGGTGTCCTTGGGCAAATTGCCCCTCATAGAACAATAAGTGCTGCTAATAGGCGCCGCTGTGATGTAATCAGTCTTCAAAGGATGCAGTCACCATGCCAGGGACAGCCAGTTGTTGGAGGCTTTGTGTTTCGTGTTCATCGGCAGGTCTCATTGGTGTGAACATATCTCAAGAAAACCTTGAGGGAATTTCTTCATAGAAGATACTAATACAAAGGATGAAGTCATTAGAATTGGGTGGTCCTCACACATTTTTGTGTTGTGAATGCAATATCTCAGGAACACCTGCAGGAAATCCTTTCACAACAATACAAATGATCACTTGGACTGATTCGATTTTGGTGGTTGAAGACAAAGGTCATAGCGAGCTCATATCCTAGTGTGAAAAAAATGTGCGGTATGTAGAATGTGGCTGCACTGGTTGGCGGAGGCAAACAACCACAGTGCAGTGATTCCAATATATATTGTAATAATAGCTTTTCATAAAGATCAGGAATGATTGTTAAATCTAATTGGAGTGTATATTTTATTTCTGATTTTATGGTTGCATGATTCATATGATTTTTTTATTAAGCTTTAGGTCGTGTCTATATTCCTATAGGATGCTGATATACCTCAAAAAGATATCCTCCCACAATATATTGCCACAAAGGTTTGTTGAAAATCCCTCCATGCGCTGCTGATTTATATTGTCCACACACACACACATAAACACAAACAAAGTCAACACCCTGCTTCTTGCTAAGCCGAGGTGCAGGATAACAAATAAAAGGTTCAATAATAAAAACCAGAGAGAGGCTGACAGATCTCCTTTGAGAGGAGTTTGAAAATGAGAGTGTTGTTCATGTATTTTCCAGATTGAAGCCTGCAGTAAAGAGGCCGAGAAGATCGATTCCCTCATCAACTATGCCAGCCCCACACTGGTCTCCCAAGTTCCCCTCTCTGCCTTCCTCACCTCCGAGATCAAGATCTCCTCCATCCATTCCTCCACCGGTGCTCCGACTTCACCCCTGGCCCCCGGCGTCTGCCTTCTCCTTGGCCTTCTCATCGCTGCGGCACCTGGCCTCAATCAGCTCTAAGTCCTTCCCCCTCCCCCTCCCCCAGCCCCGTCACCTATTGCTGTGTGTTCCAAATTACCCAACCTACCAAGCCCTCACCCCACCCTCACTTACCCCTCCCCGCTCCTAGGATGATATGGGTGACATGAGGTGAGTGTGTCTTGGCAGCGGCCGAGCAGGAAGAGGCTGCCGCGTCGTCTTTCGACAATCATTCCAGTTTAGTCACCTGCGCGTCAAGCAATCAAGGCGGTGGAAAAGCTATTATTTTGAAAAGCTTTTGTTTGAACAGTATTATATTCAGTGGATGAGTTACTCACTGGGTTTCCCTCCAGTGAAGTGTGCTTTAGCGTGTCTGTGTGTGTGTGTGTGTGTGTGTGTGTGTGTGTGTGTGTGTGTGTTTGGGTCTGACCTTTAAGAAGCATTTGACTTTATACCAGCAGTGTTTATCCATTAATCCCAGCAGCAAGCTCTCCCCGGGAAACTATTAAGTCGGAATGTAAATTTCATGACTCATCTGTCTTGTTCTGAGTGTGTGTGTGTGTGTGTATGTGTCCAGTTGGATTTCAGAGACAGGCGAGGACAAAACATCCCTGTCTGGCAGCACATCTGTCTGACAAATTACCCAAAATTCATTTGGCCACAACCACTTTCACACACACTCAAACAGACCGATCTCTGTTACATCCAGACGTCTCTGTTACGTATTTAGTGACACGTTCAAAGCCTCTGATAAATGGGAATGCACAGTCTGTACCCCACAGTGCATCATGTACAGTATATACATGTGAGGTGTATGTGGACCTAGTGTTTGAACCTCGAACCTCAGCAGTGTTAGTGCCATGCTCATGGACTGAGCCAGCTCAGAAGAAGCTAATCCAGCCTCCAAAGTCAGTTTACTGAACTGAGTGTCCCTAAACATGACCAGTTCAAATGCCAGTCAAAAAGTTTGGAAAGCAACGGAGCCCGGTTTCTGCTCTGTTTCACACAGCAGTGTCGTGAAGCAGATCAGAGCTGACATGATGATCCAAGATTTAAAAAATCTATTTTCCCTGATAACATGAAGCTTTTCTCCCCCAAAAAAAACCTGATAAGACTTTGCCTGATGTGGTGTTCAGAAAATATCCATAATATATGCTACACACGACTTTCACACCATGATGAATCTTAAAGAGTATGAGTAAGACAAAGGAGAGGAGCAGTTTATAGTACATACAGATGTTATTCTGCATGGTAGCTGAAAAGGATCTGAGAATGTTGGTCATCCAACACGTGTTCTCCATGTGTCAGAACATCAAATCCAGAAGTCAAATTAGTGTCATATTGGTTTTTCCCAATATATAAAGAAAAGATTTAGCTGCTGTATCTTCTACATGAAGATTTAACTTTAAGACAAACACTGTCACACCAAACAAATCAAAAAACGATCTGCATCATGTTATAACATAATTTGATGAAATGAGAAAACATGAGTGACAAACAATATTACTGCAGTATGGTTAAAAAGATTATTTGATCAATGAGAAATGAACAAAATGTCGTTAAAACACGATCAGGAGAAAAATCATTGGTCTCTATGTGCAAACACAGAGAAGTGGGCAGGGACAGTCAACAAAGTGCAGTTCACTCCTGTGCAGCGTCAGGTCACTTTAATCAATACTAAATGGTCACTTACTGGTCAGACTACAACCCTCAGTTTGGGGAAAAAAATGTAAAAATGAATAATCACACCTCTTTGGAGTGTTGGGTCACCAAAATCCCTTCATATATAACCACTTCACAATATGATAATGATTTTTAAAAAAAAAGGTGTGACAGCAATATGCTTCCATTTCGATGCGTTCACTTCTCTCCCTTTTTTTCCAAATCAACGAGCTGATCGTGAAGTGAACAGACAGCCGCCTGGAAATTGGAATGTGTTTCTCCACCAATCCACTGTTGAACAAGTGAAGATAAGCGACACTGACATAACCTGACTTTCACTCTTGTTCGTATTTGATCCTAATTCCCATCATGCCCCTCGATAAGGTCTTTTCATTACATTCTCAGCCTACGACCGATCGCAAAGACTTTCGATCAAAAAAATTATCATTGTCTGAACGTGACTTGACATAATCTTGATTGCAAAACTTATTGGGTCATTAGTTATTCTCTCTCTGGAGACACAGAGGAGATTGAACAACTCTTTCCACAGTGCTTCTCCCTCTGAAGAGTCCAAATGGTGAACAGTCTCTTCAAATTGGATGGTACATTCCAAATTGGTGGTTTTGTCCTTTGGAATCAGTGTAATTAATTCACATTAGACTATAAAATATTCCGCAGCAGAGACCTCGCAGGTGTATCAGGGAAACACTGTTACAGGGAATCTTATGAGCACCGCTTCTAAAGTGTCATCAGGTCAAACGGGAGATGAAGGCTCTGTTGTCATGTCGGAGAAACGTCCGGATCATCGCTCCCTTTGTGTGAGGCCAGTAGCTCTGAACAGTATTAAAAGGGATGTTTTCTCTGTGTACATATGAACCAGAAGCCATTTAATAACAAAAGGACAATCAGCTAGTCCCTACCCACAATCCACTTTGGGTAGAGAAGATATTCCACAGTATGCCTTGCATATAGTGTCTTATATGAAGTAATAGTAAAAAAAAAAGAAAATGCAATAACTTTATATTTGTTAAGAAATGTCTCTATATTTGATATGTTTTTGATATGGATTGAGATAATAATAATCTATGTGCCATGTTTTTTAAACAAATAGTTGCTATTCTTTATTGCATGATGACAATTATGAAGTGTTTTACTCCAGAATGTATTACAGTGTGTGTTGTCCCGTGTCTGTGTGTGTGTGTCTCTGCCTGTAAAGCACAATGTGTCTCATTGTCGAACAGTATTACTGTGCTGGGCAGCTCTGTAGCAGGGAACCCTGTCCATGGCTCCTCTATCTAGTATTATTATAATTATTATCATTATTATAATAATAATTTGTTGTATTATTGTTGATGTACTCTGGAGCCAACAAGGATTTGCTCACTTTTTTCTGTGTTCACTTTAATTTCATGTCATTTCGGGGGGGGCGAGGGGGGGCTTAAGATGAAAGAGTTCACACAGTCAAACTTTAAGACTTTGTTACAGACTTCTTCTGCTTCTGATGAATCTGAGAGAATCGTCAACAACTTCTTCCCTTTCTTTCTTTGAGTGAGATGAAAAGATTGATATCATGAAACAGCTGCATCCTTCCAAAGTCCAAATACACAATATACACACATCAACGTGTGTAAAGCTTGAATCTTGTTACCAACGTTTGAGGTTTTAGAGGCAGAGACCTGTTGGAGCTCTATCCTGACTATTGTATTCATCCTCATTAACATTAGCTCCATTAGTTCCACGAAGCACGTGTCAATCTGAAATTTTACAGGCAAAGAAGCCAAATGAAATATTTAATAAAGGACCAGCATTGTTCTTTTACTCTTATGAGTTGAGCAAGAAAGCCGCAGTAATACAGAAAAGAAATGTGAGACTATTGTTCATTTCTTACACGTCTGAATTAAATAACAATGGTTCAAACCCCCTTAATTGTATGATCCAGCAGTTAGCACTCCTGTATCCACCACAACCTAACCCCACAAGATAATGTTAGCATAGCATGTGTTTTAGCAACCTTGTCTTTGTTAGAGTTTGGAAGCCAACATATATAAAAAGCCTTTTAGAAACATATTGACACAATATTCTTTTAAATCGAAGCAGTCAGCACTGTAGCAGTGTTATGTTCACTAATGTGCAAACTGGCTTTGACGTCATCCAGCTAATTGAATTTGAACATGACTTGTTTTGGACGGAGAGAAGTGATTGGTTCTGGAGTCTTCCAGACCAATGAGCCAGTCATCAATAAAGAGCTGCAGACGAGAGGCGCACTGGTCCGGGGAGCGAGCGCTATCATGTAACCATCTTTATGTCTCACTATCAGAAAGAAAGAAAGTTCAATTTCCCAAAAAACATTAAACCTTGCCAGCAACATGATCATTTGTTATAAAGCTATCCCTGGAAGCCGAGCGAAGACTATTTTTTAGCATTAAGCCAATCTCTCCTGTCTTTCCATGTGATGTAAATGTAGTGTGATGGAGTGAAACTGAAGCAGTGGACTGTCCTGAGCATATAAACCTGGAGGCAGGCTGGAGGCGTCGGCCCCGGTCAGATCCGATGGTTTGTGTCATAACAACACTCAGGATTGTCGTCCCTCATATTGTGTTTTGATCATACCATGTTGGATTTCTCTTTTGTCTGTTCTTCCCTTTCATCACTGTGTTTGACTCTGTGAAAGTGCCATGAATTAAACACTGAAAATTGGATAAAAAAAAAAAAAGTCTGATACTTGTTTCCTGAAATATAAAAAAAATTGTCATCACAATCTGTTGTCAATTTCAGCCTCATCACTGAATTCAGTTTTTTTAATTCATAACATTTTTCCTTAAAGCTTCAGATGCAACATGAAACAATATTCAACACAGTTACTAATAGAATTGCAGATTTGCCTGAAAGCTGAAAGAAACCGAGACATGTTTCTTGTCTCCAGACATTCCCGCAGCCTCTCCCCCCAGCTCAGAACTTTTCAGAAGAGAAGGTGTCTGAAGTGTGACATTAATCTTTAATCCACCGAGATACAAACACAATCTGACAGTACACAACAGTATACAATATAGTATGAATCATAAGAGCTATATATATATATATATATATATACATATATATATGTATATATATATATATGTATATGGCTAATGTGCAAAATTACATTTGTGTTAAAAGCAGTGCAGTCATGATAAATAATACATAAGGGTTGCCAAAACAAACATGGAATAATTACATCATTGCTCAAGTATCCATGTTTTAATACTATGCTGTGTTATACTTTAATCTTGCATCAGCGGAACTCTTGTGGTACCTCTGTTGGTGTCTGGATCTTGAAGGCCAGATAAGAGAACGCTGGCAGAGACACTGAAAGTCAGTCAGAGCTGAAAGAAAGTATGATGAAAAGAACTCATTCATCAGGTTACTAAACAATGAGAAGTAGAAATACTTCTGTCTCCCACACTTCGTCTTAAGTTTATAGTTTGTTGTATTGTATGGTGGGAGATGCAGTATCTTTACCTGACTTATTTTAAATGCAGAGCAGAATCTCAACTTTCATGATTTTAATATTCATTTTACGCCGGTTAAAGAACATTGCACAACAACAGAATAGAACTAGTTCCCACATGGAATGAGGTTTATTCCTTATTAGAAGTCAAGCAATCAATCAAATGTGTATATGAAATATATAATTGATTTGATTGATCCAGAGGATATAGAGGAGGAAAGAGAAGCTCCGTGTGTCATGTGTCCCCAGACGATAGCAGCAGATCTGAACCAGCTCTAACTATGAGCACTATCAAAGAGGAAGGTTTGAAGCCGACTCCTAAAAGTAGAGAGGGTGTCTGCCTCCTGAACTGAGAGATGATTAAACAGGAGGGGAGCTTCTGGCTCCTGTACTCTACTTTTGGAGAATTTAGTTCTGTGAGCTCTCAAAGATATGATGGTGTCATAACATTAAGAGCTTTGCAGGTGAGAAGGAGAATTTTAAATTCTGTTTTAAACGTAGGGGGGATTTAGGTAATCTGGGACAATGGGAAATGTGGGATACCTCAGATCCACTTTATTTCCAATTTCCAACTAAATCTAGTCAATGGGACTGTGGAGGGGAGGGGGCGGGGAGAGCTCCTGCACCTCAGAGGATGGATCAGCTAACGGCTCTCACCTGCGCTGATTGATCCTCAGGTTTGAAAAGGCAGCGCCGGAGCTGCCGGGAGAGACACACGAGGACTGAGACGGATGGGGAGGGACACAGGGACACTGAGCTGAAAAGCCGGACGCCAGCGGAAAGTGCTGGCCACTTAGGTTAAACCCTTTTGTGAGTTTAAGTGTATTACGTCTCTGGCTGGGTGTGGGAGAGCACTGTGGCATGGTCAATTGCCAAAAGGACATTTGTTATAGTTTAGCATGGATATCATGTGACTGAAATCACATGACTTCATGGGGGTGATGCCAAAGAAAGAACCCCCCCCTCACTGTATGAAATTTAAAAAAGGGTGACTTCATGCTTTGGTCATTTAAGTTCTGTGAATGGGGGGAATATGCATTTGGAGCCTTCCTGAAATAAAAAGAGTAAAGAGATGTAGCATGTGCTCTGAAGATGTGAGACAGGGCTTCACGGTAAATACAGCCTGTCCCTGTCTGATTAAAGTGATCGTCTGGTGCGTTAACCGGCACATAATCAGTTTGCTCTCTCGAACAGACATGATCCAAAACACAGAGGAGTGTCTGTCCTGTGGTCAGCAGCCATTTCACCTAACGTGGAGAAGACAACGGGCTGATCGATGGTGACGATCTCTCCCCTGTGAAGCCTGTTTGTTCCCCGAGTCGCTCCAATAGAAAGGTAAGTTATTGTTATTGTTGCTTTCTGTTGATTTATGTTTAGTAGGTTTTTAAAAAAAAATGTGATACATCTTTTAAAGGATGAATATTTCTTTATTTAGGTTAGGGGTCTTAAAAATATGACTTTTATATGTCAATATGAATCAAAGACATTTCTATGAATACATAAATGTTCTTATTCAGCTCTCTGTAATTTAGTCTTTTTTTATAATGCTTTTTAGAAATTGGTAATGAGCTTGAGATGCATAAATAAGGGGATTCAGGTTTCACAACCATGTCCCAGATTACTAAGTGACCTGTCCCAGATTATCAAATCCAGGCACAAAGAACACTAAAGGCTGTGCCTTGTCTCCTCTGAGTATGACGTCTCCATTCTCTCTTCTGCTGAGCTTAGATAACATTTTAAGGATGACACGTAGGTACAATATGTTGATCCAATGTGTAAAACAGTCACAGAAATCAAAATTGCAAAAGGAAATCCCAAATTTATTTATGTATTTATCTAAAATAGAAATAACGCCGAACGTTAACTAAGTCACATTCCACATGTGCATCAGATGCTAAACAGAAAATACTGAATGTTCTGCAGTGAAATCAAATGTTAACAAAATGCCACGACTGTAGAAAAACTTTTCGTTGTAAACTTCGCAGCTTCCCTCTCACAACAACTACTTCCAGCAGTGAAAACCACTCAATGATTTCTATAAACAGCTCAAAGTCATTGTGTTCTTTCCTAAACACACCCTGTCTCCGAGGTTATGGGAAACAGTCACTTAACACAAGCTAATACTTTGTATTTCATCTATTCAATCAAACTTGAAATGAAATAAAAAATGCTTGTGGTTTTGCCCTCACAGGCTAAATCCAGCAGAGCCCATCAGCAACACGGTCAGACAGTTATATAA